TGTTGATTTTTATATCTTGCTACTTTGCTGAATTCATTTATTAGTTCTAGAAGTTTTTTTGGTGGAACTTTTAGGGTCTTCTAGGTATAGAATCACATCATTAGCAAATAGTGCCAATTTGAGTTCTTCTTTTCCTTTGTGTATCCCTTTAATTTCTTTCATCTGTCTAATTGCTCTGGCCAGTGTTTCAAGAACCATTTTAAATATAAGTGGTGAAAGAGGGCATACCTGTCTTGTTCCAGTTTTTAGAGGGAATGCCTTTAATTTTTCTCCATTTAGAATAATGTTGGCCTTGGCTTTGCATAGATAGTCTTTATGATGTTGAAATATGTTCCTGTTATCCCTAGTTTTTTTAGTATTTTGAACATAAGGGGTGCTGTATTTTATCAAACGCTTTTTCTGCGTCTATTAAAATGATCATTTGATTCCTATATTTAAGTCTGTTGATGTGATGAATTATGTTTATTGATTTCTGTATGTTAAACCAACCTTGCATCCCTGGGATGAATCCCACTAGATTGTGGTGCACGATCTTTTTGATATGTTTTTGTATTCGATCTGCCAGAATTTTATTGAGAATTTTTGCATCTATGTTCATTAGACATACTGGTTTGAAGTTTTCTTTTTTTGACGTATCTTTGCCTGGATTTGGAATCATGGTGATACTGGCCTCATAGAATGAGTTTGGAAGTGTTCCCTCTTTTTCTATTTCCTGAAATAAATTGGAGTTTATTGGTATTAGTTCTTCTTTAATGGCATCTTCTATTTTATCACTTGAAATTGATCTGTTTAAATTGTATATATCATCCTGATTCAATTTGGGCAAATTATGACTCTAGAAATTTGTTGATACCTTTGATATTTTCTATTTTATTGGAGTACAAGTTTTCAAAATCATTTCTAATTATCTTATGTATTTCTGTAGTGTCTGTTGTGATATTTCCTTTTTCATCACATATGCTAATAATTTGAGTTTTCTCTCTCCTTCTCTTCATTAGCATGGCTAAGGGTCTATTTATTTATTTTTTCAAAGAATCAACTTTTTATTCTGTCAATTTTTTCAATTGTTTCTTTTGTTTTAATTTCATTGATTTCAGCTCTGATTTTTATTATTTCCTGTCTTCTGCTTTTGGTGTTGATTTGTTCTTCTTTTTCTATCGTTTTGAATGTAATATTAAGTCATTTATTTGTTGACTTTTTCTTTTTTAAGGAATAAACTCCACGCAATGAACCTTCCTCTTAGAATGCTTTCACAGTGTCAGAGATTTTAATATGTTGTATCTGTGTTCTCATTCACCTCTAATTTTTTTTTAATCTTTTCCTTGATATCTTTTGCAACCTATTGTTCACTCAGTAGCATATTATTTAGTCTACAGGTATTGGAGTGGATTTTATTTCTTTTTTAAATCATTGATTTCTAATGTCATTCCATATGATCTGATAGAATGCAGGGCAGTATCTCTACTTTTTTTATATTTGCTAAGAGTTGCTTTGTGGTATAGTATAAGGTCTATATTTTAGAGAAGGACCCATGTGCTGCTGAGAAGAAAGTATATTCTCTCCTTGAAGGATGAAATATTCTATATATGTCAGTTAAGTCTAATTTATTGATCGTATTATTGAGTAATATAGTTTCTTCAGCTTTTGTTTGGAAGATCTCTTTAGTGATCAAAGAGGTGTGTTAAAGTCACCCAAATTTATTGTATTGTGGTTTAAATGACTATTGAACTTGAGAAGAGTTTGTTTGATGAATGTAGATGCTCCATTGTTTGGGGCATATGTATTTATAATCGTTAAGTCTTGTTGGTGTATGGTTCCCTTGAGCAGTATGTAGTGTCCTTCTTTATCCTTTTTGACTGACTTTAATTTGAAGTCTACTTTAGTTGATATGAGGATGGAAATCTCTGATTGCTTCTATAATCCATGGGAATGGTATGATTTTTCCCAACCTTTCACCTTCAGTCTGTGGATATCTTTTCCTATGAGTCTCTTGAAGGAAGCATATTGTTGGGTGTCTCTCTCTCTCTCTCTCTCTCTCTCTCTCTCTCTTAATCCAATCTGCTAGCCTTTTGATTGGTGAGTTTAAGCCATTAACATTCAGGGTTATTATTGAGACATGATTCGTATTCCTAGCCATTTTTGTTTATTTTTGGTATTTAATGTGACTTGGTTTCTCCTCTGATTAGATTTTCCTTTAGTGTAATACCTCTCTCTCTCCTGATTTTCATCATTGTTTTTCATTTCTTTTTTTTTTTTTTAAAAGATAGAGTAAGAAAGAGAGGGAGAAAGACAGGGAGGGAGGAGAGGGAGAGAGAGAGGGAGAGAGAGAGAGAGAGAGAGAGAGAGAGAGAGAGAGAGAGAAAATTTTAATATTTATTTTTTAGTTTTTGGTGGACACAACATCTTTGTTTGTATGTGGTGCTGAGGATCGAACCCGGGCCACACGCATGACCGGCGAGCGCGCTACTGCTTGAGCCACATCCCCAGCCCCATTTCTTCTTCTTAGAATATTTTGCCAAGGATATTCTGTAGTGCAGGCTTTCTAATTATAAATTCTTTTAACTTTTGTTTATCATGAAAGGTTTTTATTTCATTATGAAATCTAAAGCTTAGTTTTGCTGGATATAAGATTCTTGGTTGGCATCCATTTTCTTTCAGAGCTTAGTATATGATGTTCCACAATCTCCTGGCTTTGAGGGTCTTGGTTGAAAAATCTGCTGATACACGGATTGATCTCCCCCTGTATGTGATCTGATTCCTTTCTCTTGCAGCTTTTTTAAGATTCTATCCTTATTTTATATGCTAGGCATTTTCATTATAACGTGCCTTGGTGTAGATCTGTTGTAATTTTGTACATTTGGTGTCCTGTTAGCCTCTTGTATTTGGTTTTCCAATTTGTTCTTTATGCTTGGGAACTTTTCTGATATTATAGTATCATTGAAGAGATTGTGCATTCCTTTGATTTGAAATTCTGTGCCTTTCTCTATTGCAATAACTCTTAGATTTGGTCTTTTGATGCTGTCCCATAATTCTTGTTCATGGTTTCTTACTGTCTTCACTGTGTGATCAATTTTATTTTCCAGATTGTATACTTTGTCTTCATTATCTGCCATTCTTTCTTCTAAGTGATCTACTCTTTGGTTATACTTTCTATTGAGTTTTTTATTTGATTTACTGTAGCCTTCATTTCAAGAATTTCTGACTGTTTTTTTTTTTCCAGAGTCTCTCTCTCAGTAATCTTTTGCTACCTGTATTTGCTCTTATCTCTTTGTTAGAGTGATCAATTTTTGCCTGTATTTGCTCATTTAGGTCATTCTTTAATTCACAGATCATTTTAATTATGAACCTTCTGAACCCCTTCTCTGACATTTCATCAACTTTGTTGTCCATGGGTTTTGGTATTATAGTGTCCTAGTTTGTTTGGGGCACTTTCCTCCCTTGTTTTTTTCATGTTGTCTATGTATTTTCCTTTCTTGCAGTGTGGATCTGAGATATTACAGTTTCTTCCCTATATTCTTGTAGTACCAGTGCAGATTTTCTGTACCTCACCTTGGGCTTCCAGACCCTTAGTGTATGCTACTCCATCTAAGGTTGGTGGCGGCAATAGCAGAGGTAACTTGAGATAATAGTTAAGTTGCCCCAAGATGGAAGCAATGTCTTATGGAGATGGGGCTGCAAGAGTGGGCCTCATACTCCCTGTGGGATGCCTGCTCTGAGATGCAGCTTCTTGTAGGCCCTGTCTGTTGTCAAAAAGTTAGGGGCTATTGTGTGGGGAAGGCTATGGCGATGAATGCAGTGTCCCAAGATGGAAGTGGGTTAGGGTTAGGCTTAGGCTCCCAGGTGGGAGAATGGGCGAATTCGGACCAACCTTGGACTTGAGTCCTGCGCAAGTCAGTGTGGACAGATCTGGGCTGGGCCTGACTCCCACTGGACTGAAGGGGTGGTCCTGTGCCAAAGGCTAGGCTCTGGCGGTGTCTGCGCTCTTGGTGGAGCAATGAACTAGGGCCTACTGTGAGCCTGGGTACTGCACGGGCTGGTATGGGCTCTTTAATTTATTATAATATGTTACAATAAACCTATTATTTAAATCACATTATGGAGTCTTTTGTTAACAAATACTGAAAGAAACATGCACAAATACAGGCAATGAATAAAGACTGAATATTGGTAATTATTTTTCTTTTTTGCAAAAATACCTTACTTTTTCTTTGTACATTGGAAAAAATACTTCAGCTGGATGTGGTAGCATACACCTTATAAGATCAGCGACTTGGAAGGCAGAGACAGGAAAAAACTCCAAACTCAGCTATTTAGTAGGGCCCTAAGCAACTTAGCAAAATAAAAAATAAAAAGGGCCAGCAATGTAGCTCAGTGTTAAAGCACCCCCATGTTCAATCCTCAGTAACAAAACCCCAAAACCCCAATATTTCAAACTAATTGTAATAAGTGCTCCCATTAAGTCTTAGTTGAGTTCTAAAAATAAAACTTGGAGGTTAAGTTTAAATAAAGTCATTTAAAAAAAAAACTTTTGAATTATTACTTACGTGGCCATTTGCAACATCTAGTAAATCTTTAACCCTACAGCCTCTCATGGTTCCCACTTCATTGCAGATAGCATCTTCCACAATTAGATAATTAGCTTTGTAGGATGTCAGTATTTTATAAATATCTTCAGCAGATCGCTTTGAATAGATTTGGTAAATCTGAAAGAAAATAATTAAAACTGATCTTAAAAGATATGTAAACTCCTGTTAATCAAAATTATACTAAGCAAGGTATGGTGGTGCATGCCTATAATCCCAGTTGTTTGGGAGGCAGGAGGACCACAAGTTCAAGGCCAGTCTCAGCAAATTAGGGAGGCCCTATGTAACTTAGTTAGAAACTTTATCAAAATAAAAAATACAAAGAACTGGGAATGTAGCTCAGTAATAAAGTATCCCTAGGTTAAATCCCTAGTACCAAAACAGATAAAAAAACTATTCAAACTGACCACCTACTGTGTTCTTAGTACTACACAATACTTGGAGAAAATAAAGGAATTTACTATGATTTTATTTCTGCCCTTGAGAAGTTTATATTCATGTATCACAGTGATCATAATTAAATATAAAACAATTAGTAAAAATAATGTCATATCTAATTAATTAGAAATCATATGATGTAATTCTGATAACCACCATATACAAAATAAGAAATGTTCACAGATATAAACTTGAAAGGAACGTAGAAAATTGAAAAAGTTGTTTAGGGGCACTGATATGAGAGGTAGAATTTTTCTTTTTTAAAGAATATACTGTTGGGCTGGGGATGTGGCTCAAGCGGTAGCGCGCTTGCCTGGCATGTATGCGGCCCGGGTTCGATCCTCAGCACCACATACAAACAAAGATGTTGTGTCCACTGAAAACTAAAAATAAATAAAAAAAAAAAAAAAATAAAGTTAAAAAAAAAAAAAAAAAAGAATATACTGTTGAGCCAGACACCATGGCACATACCAGTAATCCCAGAACTTTGGAAGCTGAGGAAGGAGGATCATAAGTTCAAAGCCAGTTTCAGCAACTTATCAAGGTCCGAATCAATCTGGTGCGTGCCAAGTACCAGACCAATAATTTACTTTGTCTCTACAAATATTAACTATTCTGGACATTTCACATAAAAGGAACATTACATATGTATTCCTTTGTGACTAGATTTTTTCACTTAGCACAAGGTTTACAAAATTCATTTATGTTGTAGCATGTATCAGGACTTCATTCCCTTCAATCAGTGCTAAGTAACATTCATTGCATGGATATCCCACGTTTTGCTTATTCAGTCATCAGCTGATAAACATCTGAGTTGCTTCCACCTTTAGGCTATCATGAACAATGCTTCTATGAACAATCGTGTATAATTTTTTTGGAAGACATGTTTTCATTACTCTTGGGTATATAACTGTGAATAGAATTACTTTTTGAGAATCTGCTAGACATATTTCCAAAGCAGCTGTACATTTCATATTCTCACCATCAGCATACAAGGGTTTGGTTCAGAGTTTTCCACATCCTTAACCCTACTTGTCCTTTTGATTTTTAGCTATTCTCCTAGGTCTGAAGTGGTATCTACTTGTGGATTTTATTTGCATTTCTCTGATGGCTACTGAGATTGAGCATCTTTTCATATGCTCATTGGCCATTTGAATTAATTCTTTGGACAAATATCTACTAAAGTCATTTCCCCATTTCTTTATTTACTGGTGCTAGGGATTGAACCCAGGACCTTGTGCATGCAAGGCAGGCACTCTATCAACTGAGCTAAATTCTCAACCCTCCCCTAGTGGGCTCTCTTTTTATTATTGAGTTGTAACAGGGCCTTAAATTTTTTATTAATCTGATTCAGAGTTTTTTATACTCATTTTATGCACGACACAGACACAAGAAAGTAAAAAAATAATTTGTCACACAATGCCAAGCAAGGATGCTTAAGATTCATGTTCTGATTCCATGGCATTTATTTATTCTTTAATTTAAAAAATATTTTTAGTTTTAGATGATTGCAATACCTTTATTTTGTTTATTTATTTTTATGTGGTGCTGGTGATGGAACCCAAAGCCTCACAGGTGCTAGACAAATACTTTACCATTGAGCCACAACTCCAGCCTGATTCCATAGCATTTTAATTACAACTCTGCCAACCCTATTAGTATCATATACTATTTGTCCTGAAAAATACTGAAATTTGAAGTTATGATTAAAAAAGATTCCAATTTGTTTGCAGAATACTCAATAGCTGCCTACTATGTATCATGGCTGCTGGCTGTCTAGCACCTTTCAGGTCCAATATCCATGGATGTTTGTGCTATACAAAATGCTAATACATCAAAAGGAAGTTGGTCATTCACTGTGCTGTGGATAAGTTATAATGGGAATGATTCTATCTTACCCAGCTATGTCTGATAGTTTACATACATTTGAATTTATTTTATTTATTTATTTTATTTTTAAAGAGAGAGTGAGAGAGGAGAGAGAGAGAGAGAGAATTTTTAATATTTATTTTCTAGTTTTTGGCGGACACAACATCTTTGTTGGTATGTGGTGCTGAGGATGGAACCCGGGCCGCACGCATGCCAGGCAAGCGCGCTACCGCTTGAGCCACATCCCCAGCCCTGTATTTATTTTATATACATATTTATTTTATTTGAGTTTAGGAAACTAAAACAGACTACCATGGCATTAAAAAAAAACTACTGTGGCAAGCTACAATCCAAGCTACTCAGGAAGCTGAAACAGGAGGATCGAAAGCTCAAGGCCAGCCTAAGTAACTCAGTGAGACTTTGTCTCAAAATAAAATATTTTAAAAAGGCTGGGGTATAGATCAGTAGTATAGCACTTGCCTAACATGTGCTAGGCCCTGGATTCACTCCCTTATACTGTACAAATCAAACTAAACAAAACAACACAAAAGAAAAAAAAATAAAAAACCATGACTGTGTAATAGCAATATTATCACTAATAGCCTAGAGCAGAGTTTTTCAACCTTAGCGTTGCAGATATTTCCGGCCAGATAGTTCTTTGAGACAGGAGGGAAGTTGCTCTATACACTGTAGGATGTTTACCAACATAACCAGTCTCTACCTGTTAGATGCCTATAGAACCACCCCATACTTCCAGTTTTGACAACTGAAAGTGTCTCTATACACTGCCAAATGTCCCATAGGGAATTATACAAAGATTAGTCATACACTATAAATTAGAGATAATATCTAATCTAAATGATATGATTTCATTTATGATGTTCTCTTTGGATTTTGATTAAACATTAAATGTATTTAGCACCTGCTATGTACCAGATATTATAAAGGCAAAAGTTTGGAAAGAAATAAATACAAAAACAAAACAAAATCCATGGTTGTTATTCTCAGAGCCAAGTTCCATTAAACATTTTAGCATTTTAAGTTTAAACTTAAAACGCTAAAATGTTAAATTTAACTCTGACTTAATTATAGACAACTCTGAAATTCTGTTTTAGGAATAAGTACTATCAAAAGCAAAAGCAAAAATATAGAGTTTTTTTTTTTGAAGTCTACAAAAACAAAAGTTCAGGAATATGCTCTCTATTCTGCCTAAACATTTCTACATCTTTGAAGCACAGAAAATACTAATCAGAAATGGCTGTTGCCTCTTAAGTAAATCACCCTCAGGTAGACATTATCTTTGATCTTTCCTGCACCTGTTTCAATTTGCTTTCTTAGCTGTGACTATAATTAACTCTCTAAAACAGCCCTACTCACTCCACTGTCAAACTTATTAAATGTCTTTCATGTCTCCAATTGCCTCAAGAATAAGTCTAAATTCTTAAGCATGACATTGCAGGCTCTCCAGAATTTTATTTTCTAATTTCATGGCCATATACATTTTTGGACTTGTGCCAGGTATAGCGAGGCATATCCCAGTGATTCTGGAGACTAAGGCAGGATATCAGAAGTTCAAGGCCAGCATCAGCAACTATGGAAAGCCTAAGCAACTTAGTGAGACCTTGTCTCAAAATAAAAAATAAAAAGGGTTAGGAATGTGGCTTAGTGGTAACGCACCCCTGTGTTCAATCCTCACTACCAAAAAAAAAATAATAATAATAATAATTCTTTACTTGTACTGGTTTTTCAGCCTGGAATCATAAGGATTCCTTTTCCAAACAAGTTTCCACTCAATCTTCCAGGCTCACATCAAGGCAAATGACCTTTATGATAAATTCTTAAGATTTCTATAGGCAGAACTGATTGCTTCTGCTTTTGAATTCCCGTTTGTAATTTGTGTACATGTACATACATGCATGTATATATACAATTACAATTTAATAGTACATAACAAAAGCAAACTTTTAACAACACATCATCTGATTTAATTTTCACAAATAGGAGGGTGAAAACTAATATTATTTCCAGATTCAGTAGCATATACAAGGTTCCAAAGCTAAATATGTGGGAGAACGAGCTTTTGAGTCTAATTCTAATTTCACATTCTGTATTCTTACCCTCTAAATTGCTTATACTTCTTCTTTAGTACTTATAAACTATATGAAATTTTCTCAAACTGAAAAACAGGATATTGGAAATCCAGGTTCAGTTTCAGATATAAAGTTGTCATTTAAAATTATACAAACATTCAAAACATTATATGCTCCCAAGGGGAGAGAGGAGGGAAGAAAAAGAAGAAATACTGGGAAATAATACTGGCCAATTTATACTGTTATATTATGTGTATGCATAAATATGTAAAAACAAATCCCACCATTATGTACAACTATAATGCAACAATATGCAAAAAGTACATTCTTTAAACTACGATTAAAGATTAGATGCCATTCTAATATTAATATTGAATTATTAATAAAAACCCATACCAAAAAAAATGAATTAGTTTTTTATAATCAGTAATAAAATTTTGGCTTGGGAAAACAAAATATTTCAAGATACTGACAGCTTTCCTTCAACAGACACACACACACACACACACATACGTATTTGGTGCTACGGAGTGAACCCAGGGGCATTTTACTACTGATCTACATCCCTATTTATTTTTAATTTTGAGAGAGGGTCTTGTTAAGTTGCTTGGGGCCTTGCTAAATTACTAAGGCTAGCCTTGAACTTGCAATCCTCCTGTCTTTCTAGTTGCTGGGATCACTGGTGTGTACCAACATACCCAGATAGAGAACACAGATATTTTCAAAAATAAGTTTCCCTTTCTTAAATACTATATGCCAGTTCCCTTAATATTTTGGGGGAAAATGAATGTTTTTCCTGGAAACATCAATAGTATTGATAAAATAAATAATTTAATATTGGGTTTCCTCGAGGTTAAACAAATGTATTATACAGCTTTTAAAAACTAAAGCTAATTAACTCTTCTAAAATTATTTGGATTTTCCTAGTTAACTAGGAATATATGCATCACTATTGAAACTATTTAAAATATAGATTGTTGTAAAAAAGACCCAAATATCAAATTTAAAATGTCTTACATTTTCATTTCTCTTGAGGAGATCGTCATCATTATAAAGAGGCAAGCTTGTCACCATCCATCCAGTGCATAATTTAATTGCACCCATTAACTGTGGACTCCCTGCAAACACAGCTGCAATTGGAGCTTGTCTTCTGCAAAGAACCAAAAGATTCACACAATGAAAGGTAAGTATACTATTAAGTTCACCAATTTACAACTCTGAAATACAAAGTAACTTACAATGTATAACACTAAAATTTCTCTATCAATTTTCATTTATGAATTCATTAAAAAGAAAGACTCAGCACTTACAATATGCCAAGCACTGTTTTGAATACTTAAATATAGAAGTTTTTTTAAAAAAAAAGAGGGAGAAGGAGGAGATAATAAAAATAAAGTTATGTCACATAGCAATAATGCTATAAAAGATAATCCAGAATGGATAATGATAAGAATATACTATACTAGAATTTATAGTGGTAACACTATAAATTCTCAAATTCATCTTTTGCAAACATTAACCACCACAACACAATTCCTTTCAGATTAACTTACACTCCTACTCCTTTCTCTGTTTTTACCCTACATGATTCCAGATAACGTATGTAGGACCTCTCTAACCTGAATCCATCATCTAAAGGCCCAGACAGATGCTACTTACAAGGTGGGAAACCTACAAACAGGTCCTAAATGCATGCATCTATATATATTTGCAGTGCTGGGTATCAAACCTAGGGCCTCACACCTGGTAGACAATTGGTCTACCATTGAGCTGTACCCTCCAGCCCTCCCTTCACTTATTTATTCACTTCATGTATTCAATGTTCAGCACCTACCCATGTCTAAGCATAGTATCAAGTTCTGAAAATAAAGAAATGGAACCTTGTCGCTGTGCTCAGGGAGCACTCATTAGTGAGGAAATACATACAAAACAATTACACCACAAAAAAACATCCAACTGTCCAGGCCATTGTTATATTTTTGAAAATATTACAATAAATCACATACATCAATGTTGAGTTCCTCTTTTCTTAATGATAGCACAAGACTGTACAGTCAGTGCACCCTCATAGTAATCACAATTCACAAAAAGTATTAATTAGCCATAGTTAAGGGTGATTTAAAGAGAACGATTCTTTACTAGGCACACAGCTATAAAACTAGTAGTTTGGGAGGTTAAGTCAGGAGAACAGTTAAAATCCAGTTAAATCCAAGTTAAAATCCAGCCTCAGCAACTCAGCAACTTAGTGAGACTATGTCTCTAAATACAAAAAATGACTGAGGATGTGGCTCAGTGGTTAAGCACTCCTGGGTTCAGTCCCCAGTACCAATGGGGGTTCTCAGTTCCAATTCTCTGCTTCTAGAGGCCAAGACCACACCACCTGTTCTGCTTAGGCATTAAAATATAAATCCCTTGGTAACTAAGACTGGTAATCAACTGTTCATTCACCTCCAGTCAACAATAAAAGAAACATTTTCTTGATGCTTCTAAATATTCCTTTTTATTTCATATTTCTAGGTGTTTGATGTTAGAAGTCTCTAATCTCACTTATCAACATCGTATTTTCAAGTCCACAGAAGTCAGTTTCATTAGGAAATAGAATCACAAAGTTCAATCAACACTAAAAATGCCTAAAAATCATGGTGATAAAATTGCTGAGTTTTATGAGAAATTGGAAAAGTATTAATTCATTATTTCCCTTGAATCCATTAGATAGCATGCAATAATTAGTTAATAGTTTAACAACAGTCTTGGACAGTTCAATTCTTACTTTATCCAGGTCATAAGTTCCACTGTATCTGGGTCATAGAATTCCTGTAGTTCTGTTAATTCTGTCATTAATCTTGGAAAGAACTAAAATGCAAAACAAATCCCAAAAGATGTAAATAATTAGAAAGTTTAGAATTTCTTCAAAGTATCTCAAAAGACTAAAAGAGTTAATTTGAGGCAAATAATACAATAATGTTTTCATGACAAAAATGTCATTGATCTCTTTGCTTTCTTTCAGTGACCTGCTCATTCTTCTCAATCCAAATAATAATCTTATGGTTGATGCACTGCCTAGACTCAATAAATAATTTTATCAATATCAAACAATTAATCATCAGTTCTGTATTTTATGCACACATACTAAACAAGTGAACAAATTTTACTTACTAATAAAACTTGTAAGTTTACTGGCAAGTAGTTTCATTTACATTATGATAAACCTAAGAATTTATATTAGATATTAAAATGAAGCGAATATTTTTAAACATTAAGACCTATTTTTCAGCAATATCCTTTGCCAATTAGATACTGAATTTACAATCTTATTAGACTACAAAAAAACAATATCACATGGCATTCTAAAAATGTTGTGGGTCTTCTGTTATAACTTTAAAAAAAAAGCATTAGTAACAACATCACACTTTGATGTAATAGTTTTTTTATTTATTTATTTTTTGGTGGGGGGGTACCAGGGATTTAACCCAGGGGCATTATAACACTGAGCTATACCCCCAGTTCTTATTTTTTATTTTGAAACAAGGTCTCCCTAAATTTTGTAGGACTTCATTAAGTTGCTGAGGCTGACCTTGAACTTGTGATCCTCCTGCCTTGTCTCTCCAGTTGCTGGGATTACTGACATTTGCCACCATGTCCAGCTTAGAATAGTATTCTTGATAAAAATTTCCTACACACATATATAAATTTATCATTACCAGCCAGGCACAGTGGTGCATGTCTGTAATTCCAGCAGCTTGGGAAGCTGAGGCAGGAGGACTGTAAATTCAAAGCCCGCCTTGCAACTCAGCAAGGCCACAAGCAACTTAGTTAGACCCTGTCTCAAAATTAAAAAATAAAAATAAAAAAAAAAAACATTATCTTGTACATTTCAGTAATTTAAGCTTCTGGTTTTCTTACCTCTTTCCATAAACTGAGACCTATTATAGTGGGCACAGCCATGCTCAGAATAAGAGCCTGAAATATCAAAGCAAAAAGGGTTATGGGTAAATATGAGTATACTTTAGAGATACTAGCAATGACTCTATGATCAACTGAATATCCTTTTAGTTATAAAAATTCCAATAATAGAAAGTGAAGCCAGTATAGAATTGAGTTCATCAATTGAGATGAGGGATAATTAAAGAGTTTCAAACACTAACCAGGAGGTAAAGTGAGACACACATATTTACTACATAAATTTATAGCAGAGCATCAAAAAAGTAATGCTCATAATATTTCAAATAGCCAATCAATATTTGAAAAATTGTCAGGGACTTATGCCACTAAGAGTCTGAAAATAATTCTGAATTGCTACATGAAAAGCTAACAACAACAATAAGAAGACAATGAGCCGGGCAGGGTGGCATGTGCCTATAATCCCAGCAATTTGGGAAACTGAGGCAGGTGGATTGCAAATTTGAGGTCAGCCTCAGCAACTTAGCAAGGACCTAAGCAACTCAGAGAGACCCTTTTTCAAAAAAAGCAGGGGCTGGCCTGGGGATGTAGCCCAGTGTTAAAAAGCCCCAGGGTTCAATCCCTAGTATGGGAGAAAGTAACAAAAAATAGCTAATAAATATACTAGTATGTTAAAATAAGAATGTATAAATTCTGGGAATAAGACTGACAAAATATTATTTTTTGGGGGGGGGAGGATTGGGTATCAGGGATTGAACTCAAGATCACTCAACCACTGAGCCACAATCCCAGCTCTATTTTTTATTTTATTTAGACACAGGGTTTCACTGAGTTGCTTAGCACCTCCCTTTTGCTGAGGCTGACTTTGAACTTTCGATCCTCCTGTCTCAGCCTCCTGAGCTGCTGGGATTACAGGTATGCACTTGGCTAACATGTACCTGGCTAACATGATTATTATTAAACATAACTCATCTTCCTGCCAAAACCAGTTCTTCCTACTGTCCCTTGTCTATTGTTAACCTAATGAACAATGATCCACAGTCATACAAACCAGAAACCTAGAAAATACCATCATTTCTACCTTTTTTTTGGGGGGGGGTTGGTGAGGGTACCAGGGATTTAACCTAGGGTGCTTTACTAGTGAGCCACATCCCCAGACCTTTTTTTTTTTTTGGTACTAGGGACTCAGGGGCACTCAACCACTGAGCCATATGCCTAGCTTTATTTTGTATTTTGTTTAGAGATAGGGTCTCACTGAGTTGCTTAGGGTCTTACCGCTGCTGAGACTGGCTTTGAACTCTCAGCTCCTGATCAGCTGAGATTACGGATGTGTGCCACAGCACCTGGCTCCCAGACCTTTTTATTCTTAATTTTTGAGACAGAGTCTCACTAAAATTGCTTAAGGACCTTGCTAAAATTCCTGAGGCTGGCCTTGAACTTGCAATCCTCCTGCCACAGCTTCCTGAACTGCTAGTATTATAGGTTTGTGCCACCTCACCCAGCTCATTCCCCCAATACTTAATCAAGCACTGAGTCTTATCAATCTTTTTCTAACTACTTTTTTTTCATTCTAATTTGGCACAGTATTTTTTCTTTTGTCAATGTGGCAAGAGTGTTAATCAAGAAGGCTTTTGTTTGACATCACTGCTTAAACTCAGGGGCACTTTACCACTGAACTATATCACTTGCCCTTTTTATTTATTTATTTTAAATTTTAAGTTGCTAGGGCCTTGCTAAATTGCTAAGGCTGGCCTCAAATTTGTGAGCCTCCTGTCTCACAAATTTGAGTTGCTAGGATTATAGACATGCACTACTGTAACAAGCTCTCAAATAGGTTTTGGAGTCCAAATAAACCTGGATGTGAATGTTATGTGATGTTTATTTATGGTTTTCACATATAAAAGCTATATTATCTTAAGCAAATTATTTAAACAATTTAAGCTTAGTGTCTTTTTCTTCAGTGATAACAAAACTTAGTACTGAATACCACATGAAATGCTTCAAAACAGAATCTGACACATAGTGAACTTTCAATAAATTGATACCTGTGTTACTTTCATCTAAATGGCCTTTAAGCCTATCCTTAAAGAATTTTAAGAGTGAGCTAAGAGAAAATGCTTGATTCTTATTCCTTATGAGACATAAAAGTCTCAATGCCAGGCTAGGGGTATAGTTCAGTTGGTAGAATGCTAGCCTCACACGGATAAGTCAATCCCCAGAATCACACACACACACACACAAAATAAATAAAATCTCAATGCCTTTCTACTGCCCATTAAAGACCAAGCTCTATTATATGATAATGGAGGCCACCATAACCTAATCATTTTTAAATATTTATTTATTTTTTAGTTGTAGGTGGACACAATTTCTTTTATTTTATTTTTATGTGGTGCTAAGGATTGAACCCAATGCCTCACGCGTATTAGGCAAGCACTCTACCACTGAGCCACAATCCCAGCCCATAACCTCATCATTTGACCACACTTATACTTCATGCTTTGTGCCAATAAGACTAACTTTTTTGCACATTTATTTCTTTTGATTGCATCATGTTCTGTTAGGGGAGATGTTAGGGTCGTAAACAAGTCAAGATGGCTCCTGGCACTTTGCCAGAGGGAGTGGTTTGAGAAGTAATGCCAGCGAGTCATTAAGATGATAGATTCCTTAATGACTGACTGCTGTGTCTAGATTATGTCAATTAAGTTAAACTGTGTAATTATTAAGACGATGATTCCTTATTGGTTGACTGCTGTACCTAGTTTATGTTAATTAAGAACAAGCTGTGTATTCAGTTATGTATATATAGCCCTACTGTCCTACAGTAAACGGCCTCGCTCGCTCGCTCCGCTGTATTAACCTTCACAAGTTCCTTGTCACCCCGGGGTTAGATTGCCCAGCCAGACTGCGGCAATGTTCTTTTACCTTCTTCTGTTTATTCCTTTCACCATGAATACCTTTTTTTTCTTCATTTGCTTCAAAACTCATCATTTTTCAAATTTCAAATTGGAAAGTTGCCTTTGAATCCCTAAAAATAAATAAACAACCCTTCTCTATGTTCTAATAGCACCCTAGAAATACTTTTTTTGTGTGATGCTGGGGAAAGAATCAAAAGCTTCAAGCTAACTATGTTTTATCTTTATTTCTTTTGACAAGCATATAGCAGGCACAATGAAAATGTTTCAGTACAACAAAAAACATACCATAGTTCTAAATCAAACCAAAAAAGATCTTATAAAAATTAAAGGTGGGTATGGTGGTGCACACCTGTAGTTCAGCTTTTTGAGAGGCTAAGGAAAATCAACTGATCCCAAGAGTTTAGAGCCAATCTAGGCAACCCAGCAAGACCCTCTTAAAAATAAAATAAAGACCACTACCACATTACCTTTAATTTTTTTTTTTTTTTAACCAGGGCAGTTACTTGGAAAGTTGAGGCCAGCCTGGGCAAAACTGTCTCCAAAAAAAAAAAAAAGGCTAAGGATGTAGGGTAAAGTGTTTGCCTAATATGTGTGAGGCTCTGAGTTCAATCCTAATACCACAAAAATAAATAAATTAATAAATTTTAAAACTTTAATTCATTTCAGCTCAAGAGCAGTTAGGGGAAAAAATAGATAAAAATAATTCCTTATGGTTTCTCATAATACTGATTCACTTATATTTTTACCTTGTATTTTTAAGTTGTATAGACTGAAATGCATTGATTTTACAATCAGAAATTATACAAAAATGTTTTTCATAGGACCTGTTCTTCCACCTGGAAGTCACTGTGTGACTTATTCAGACTATATTGGATTGTATTCAATATGTTTTCTATTTATTAGCATCTGATATTACATAACTGGAAAAGAAACAAAGTATTTAACACAAAGAAACAATGGCTCACCAACAATATTGGGTGTATAGTTCTTAATCGAAGCCACTTGAAAAGTGTCATCCAAAGTTCAGGGGAACATACACCAAATGCTGCTAACATGCACACATAAGGAGTCCAAATATATTTCAGGCTAGAAAAAATAAAAAAGAGTAAAACATAAGGCATCCCATAACCATCATTATCTGACTTTTCTAAGTTCTTTCCTATTACCACAAAAATACCAAAACATTAAGGGAGAATGAAAAAACTTAGTCGGCACAGATGTTATAGCACACATCTATAATTCCAGCAACTTCGAAGGCTGAGGCAGAAAGATCTCAAGGCCGGGCTCAGCAACTTAGTGAGGCCCTAGGCAACTTAGTGAGACTCTTACTCAAAATAACAAAAATAAAAAGGGTAGAGGATGTAGCTTGGTGGTAAAGAAACCTTGGGTTCAATTCCCAGTGCCAAGATAAGAAAAAAAAAATTGTTAAAAACGATGGACATTATTTATTTATTTATATGTGGTGCTGAGAATTAAACCCAGTGCCTCACACATGATAGACAAGTGCTCTACCACTGAGCCATAACTCCAGCACAGAAAAAAAAAAAAAAAATTACCAATAGATTGTTATCCAATTCTTACATAATAAAACATGAGTTACCAAATGAGGATAAAATAAAAGCATTCACATTGATGCAGGTATAGCAAGATTGTACTCTTAGAGAGAATATAACTCTTTTCAGAATGAAATTCACCAGAACTTACTGAAAATTTAAAATAATCTAAGATAAGCAATGCCATTTCTGTAATTTAGCCTATAGACATACTAGCATAACTATATAAAGATATTATGCAATGGTTTTAATTATAGCATATGCTATTTTTTAATAGAAAATTTAGAAAAATCCTGTGTCCTTGAATAGATATAAATAATAAAATACAAAAAGCAAAATAAAAATCTTCATGTATAGTGTTCCCTAGTTTTTTGCTTTTCCTTTTTTTTTTTTTTTCCTGGTACCAGGGATCAAACCCAAGGGTGCTTAACCACCAGGCCACATCCTCAGTCCCTCTTTTTTCTTAAAATATTTTTATTTTTTAGTTGTAGTTGAACACAATACCTTTATTTTACTTATTTATTTTTATGTGGTGCTGAGAATTGAACCCAGGATCTTGCAAGTGCTAGGCAAATGCTCTACTGCTGAGCCAAAACCCCAGCCCTCCTCAGCCCTTTTTATGTTTTATTAAAGATAGGGTCTGAGTTGCTTAGGGCCTACTAAATTGCTGAGGCTGGGTTTGAACTCACAATCCTCCTGCCTCAGCCTCCCAAGTCACTGGGATTATAGGTGTGCACCACCGCACCTGCACCTGTTTTTCTTTTTCTTTTGTTAAATGTGGATATATGATATAATGCCTGGAAAGTAGGATGTTATTTTTTAACTTCATATATTTCTTTTTTTTAAATTTATTTTTTAGTTGTAGGTGGACATAATATCTTTATTCTATCTTTATGTGGTGCTGAGGTTTAAACCCAGTGCCTCACCCATGTTAGGCAAGCACTCTATCACTGAGCCACAACCCCAGCTCCTAACTTCATATATTTCTATATTATATATATATTTCTATATTATTCTATATTTATTATAATCTATTTGCTACTTTTGAGATTAATTTTTTAAAAAACAAGGATCTGTACTGGCTTTGGTGGTATATGCCTATAATCCCAGCTACTCAGGGGAATGAAACAGGAGGATCACAAGTTTGAAGTTAGCCTTGATAACTAAGCAAGACCTTGTCTCAAAATAAAAAATAAAAAGGGCTGAGGCTATATCTCAGTCTGAGATGTCTCTAGTACTAAAAACAAAACAAAACCTCCAATGACTTATAATAAGGCTCTTAAATAAAAAAGATTAAAACCAGGTATACACAAAAATGAACTTGTATAAATAAAGGAAAGTATATTATTTTATGTTGTAGGTGGTAAAGAAAACAAAAAGAGCTGGGTTCACTGTAATCCTAGCAGCTTGGGAGGCTGAGACAGGAGGATCATGAGTTCAAAGCCAGCCTCGGCAAAAGTGAGGCACTAAGCATCTCAGTGAGACCCTGTCTCTAAATAAAATATAAAATAGGGCTGGGGATGTGGCTCATTGGTTGAGTGCCCCTGAGTTCAATCCCCGGTCCCCCACCTCAACCCCGAAAAGAAAACAAAAAGAGCCTGTCTTCAGAGGAAATAGTAAAAACTGAAGATGGAAGAAGAAGAGCTAGAGTATAACTGTGGTAATTAATGCTGAGGAGAACAACCAGACCCTTCCATGAAATATTTGTTGGTGTTAAACTCAGATAAGAATGTGAAGTCAAATATAAAAATCAAATCTCATGGTTTTGTAAAAGAGCAAAACTATGAAATAAAAAATATTCATTTATTTAATAATGAACATTGACTGATCATCTACTGTAAGCTAACCAAAGTAACAGAAAAGAAGACAAAAAAGTCATGGTAATAGCTCTCAAGGAGCTCTTCTCAAAATGAAATAAGACCAAACAGGGCATGTACAATTAGAGCACACCAATTAAAAAATATGAAAAAAAAAGAGGAAGCAAATAGGAAATAGGTATAAGAAAAATTACATAAAGTCTAGGGTTAGGTAAAAGTGAAATAACTAAATATAGTTTATATAGATAAATATAGTTAAATGAAGGTTCTTTTAAAAACTGAATGCTGAGTTGAAGGTGTAGCTTAATGCCTAGCACAAGTGACGTCTGGGTTCAATTCCTTAGCACTGCACACACACACAAAAAGTGTCATAACCTAGGCCTTGAGAGAAGTGGCAGACACACATAGAATACGTACTTTACTAGTAAAGACAGAAACTGTATTAATTTTCTGGGGCGGGGGGGGGGGGGTCAACCAATATCTCCTCCCAACTTCACCACTTTCTAAAATATCAACCCGTTCTTCCAGTTAACCAGAATCAATACTAGGGTTGCTTGACAGTAACAGAGGGCACCATTCACGTTGAGTTATATGTATACTACATCCCCTGGAATACAATACATCTCTGCTCTAAGGATCAGTCCATTGGTGCCAAACCCACTGGTTGATGCCAGCTCCATGGAAGTGAAGGTATCCTTCCCTTCCATACCATTTTATTGTAAGAGTAACATTTCTATCTTTTATCTTTACTCTGTCCTGCAATTCAACCAAATGCTAGATGAATCTTTTTCAAACAACTCTAAGATACTTTCTGTTAAAAAATCCTCAGTGTAGCCTAGCATGATGGCACCTGTAGTCCCAGCTACTTGGGAGGCTGAGGCAGGAAGATAACTTGAGTGCCAGAGTTTGAGCCCAAGAGTTTGGGCAATTTGGACAACACAGTGAGACCCATCCCTATTTTTTTTTAAAAAAAATAGAAACCTGGGCTGGGGATGTGGCTCAAGCGGTAGCGCGCTCGCCTGGCATGCGTGCGGCCCGGGTTGGATCCTCAGCACCACATACCAACAAAGATGTTGTGTCCGCCAAGAACTAAAAAATAAATATTAAAAATTCTCTCTCTCCCCTCTCTCACTCTCTCTTTAAAAAAAAAAAAAACTAGAAACTTCTAAAGATGGTAACATTTCCCTCTTTCATTTAAAAAAAAAGATGAGGGCTGTGGGTATAGCTCAATGGTAGAGCTAGCATTCGAGAGGCCCCAGGTTCAATCCAACATCACAGAGAAAAAAAAAAAAAAGAAACAAGAAAGGAATGAGATATTCTTATATTTACAGATATTCCAATATGAGAATAACTAACTCTAATTAATAGGCAAAAAGCCTCATGTATTCTTTCTTTATACTTTTTAAAAATTTTTTAGTTGTAGTGGGTCACAACATCTTTATTTCACTTGTTTATTTTATTTTTTTATGTGGTGCCTAGGATCGAACCCAGGGTCTCACATGTTCGAGGCAAGTGCTCTACCCCTGAGCCACAACTCCAGCCCTCTTTATACTTCTTTTCAGGCTTCTTTCTGCACTAGTAAAGGATTAACCTTGCCTGAAGAAGAGATATGACTCTGGCCTTCCACTCCTAGGAAGTAACTAACCTCTTGTCTGCTTAGAGTATCTCTGTTTAACTGGGATGTTGGGTTATACCTGAGAGTTTATGCTAACAATGTGATTTGTGGTGGGGGACTTGGGCCACACAGGTAGTCAACCACATTATGTGACAAAGCCTCAATAAAAACTGAACAATGGCTCAGCTGAATTTCCTTGATTGACAATATTCTGTGTATAATGCCATGCATTGTTCCTGAGAAAAACAGGCACTGTCTGCACAACTTTACTGGGAGATGACAACTGGTTTTCTGTGCCCTGGTGTCTCCTGGATCCCATCCTATATGCCTCTTTCCTCTGAACGACTGTAATCTTTATCCTTTTGCTGTACAATGAATATAATAACTTATCTGAGTTCTGTGAATCTTAGTGAGTTATTGAACCTGAAAGTAGTTTTGGGGAACCCATAAAATTTTGGTTGGTGTCAGAATTAAGAGTAGATATAGGGACTCCTGAATGCTGCATTTATCCTCTTAGATCGTGAGCTTCTGGAGAAGAGGAATTCCATCTTATATACTTTTATATCTCTCACCATTGCTAAGAGTGACTTTTATTGGAAATTTAGAAACTTCTGTTCAGTGAGTATGTTCTTTTTTTCTTCCTGGGGATTGAATCCAGGAGCACTCTACTACTGAGTTATATCCCCAGTCTTTGAGATGGGTCTCACTAAATTGCTGAGGTTGGCCTTGAACTTGTGATACTGTTGCTTCAGTCTCCCAGGTGGCTGGGATTACAGGAATGAACCACTGCACCCTGTTCTTTCAATGTTTTAATTAAATTTATTAACAAGTTGGTGTGATTTTCAATAGGAGCAGGAATAAGAGGAGTTTGAAAATTAAAGATTTAAAAATAGTGTGAGATATGTTCCAAGCAATCAAACCCCTAAATAATTATGATATAAAATATATGAATATAGTCACATGCTGCATAGTGATGTTTTGGTAAATGATGGACTATATGTATGACAGGGGTCCAATAATATTATATCACCTAGAGAAATTATACTAGGCTTAGGTTGTGGGAGCATACTCTATGAAGTCTGCACAATTTAATAATACATTTCTTAACATGTACCCAGATATTAAGTGACATATGACTATATATAAATATTGATTTGCCTTAACAAATTTATGAAGGTATGCAGAACATTTAAATTATCAAGCAAATAAAACGGAAATATTCTATCTTTCCGGGAACTGTGGTGCACACCTGTAATCCCAGGAGCATGGAAGGCTGAGACAGGAGGAGCAAGAGTTCAAAGCCAAGACTCAGCAACAGTGAGGCACTAAGCAACTCAGTGAGACCCTTTCTCTAAATGAAATACAAAATAGGGCTGGGGATGTGGCTGAATGATCGAGTGCCCTGAGTTCAATCCCTGGTACCTAAAAAAATAAAAAAGAAAAAGAAAGAAATATCCTATCTTATTATACATTAAATGGAATCCCACTTATATTTCACTGAGGGTTCATTTGCCATTTAAAAGCAATTTTTTGAAAATAAGGAAAGTAAAAGGATAAAAGAAACAAATAATAACCCTGAAGTCCTCAACAAGTCCTACTGCAAACTCAATGCACTTCAGCCACACTGAGCCCCATGTCATCTCTCCCAACAATGTGCCATGTTCAGTCTCACTGCAAAGTTTGTCATATGCTAGTCTCTCTACCTGGAATACTCTTTCCTCTTCTGTTTACCAACTTCACTCTTTCTTAACTTTTAGGTCTCAGCTCAAGCATCTTTTCCTTAAGAGAGCCTTTCTGATCTCTTTAAGCCAAATTCTACTTTTTCAGTGTTCTCACCTCACCATTTACCTCTCCTTTAATCATTATAATACAAATTTAAAAAAAATATTTATTTTTAGTTGTAGATGGACACAAAATCCTTATTTTACGTGGTGCTGAGGATCGAACCCAGGGTCTCAAACGTGCTAGGCGAGAGCTCTACTGCTGAGCCACAATCCCAGCTCTACCTTGGAACATTCAGTGTTTTTGAACACATCAATGAATAATAAAATGTCAGTTCACTATTCCATAAAGATCACTTGTAAACTCAAGTTATATAAGAAAATTTACAAATTTTAAGTTATTACAAAGTTTTATGAATGTATTTTTGAATGTACCCACTTATTATCATTAGGAAGAACAATCTTTGTAAAAAACAAACAGATAAAGTAAACTTACCCTTCTATAACCATTGCAAGAGAACCCAATAAAATAGTGTGAATTACATGATATATTATTTCTGGTCTTTCTCCAATTCGTCCATCTTCAAGAGTAACAGTTTCTTTCAGGGATTTACCACTATAGAAACAAAATATTTTTTAATAGCTTCAGAATATACATTTGAAAAATCAAAGAAACACTGTTTATCATCTTTGAAAGTCATACTTAAAATTTTAAACTTTTTATAATAAAAAAGTATAGGTGGCTGGGTGCAGTGGTGCACACCTATAATGCCAGCAATTTGGGCGGCTGAGGCAGGAGGATCACAAATTCGAAGCTACCATTTGCAACTAGCAAAACCCAGTCTCAAAAAGTTAAAAGTTAAAAAAAAAAAAAAAAAAAAAAGATGGTCCTTAAAATTTGAAAGTCTATTCTGCTAGTCAAATATCTAGCATATATCTCCAAGTCTTTGCTAATATCTTTTTTCTAAATTTTTTTTTGTTATTGATGGACCTTTATTTTATTCATTTATTTATATGTGGTGTTGAGAATTGAACCCAGTGCCTCACACATGATGCAAGTGCTCAACCACTGAGCCACAATCCTGGCCCTGTTAATATCTTTTAGAGCCTAAAGACAACTGACTCTAAGAAGACTGTGTATGAATTTTCAGACTACATATGAATTTTAAATTCCTTTTCCAAGACAAATTATGACTCACTTAACAATTACTAAGCCAATATAATTGAATAATATAAATAAGATCTTTAGATCAAGAAATTACATAAAACCTTTCAAACATGATAAACAAATAGTTAAACACTGTAACAATTCAAAAATCACTTAAACTACTAATTCATTTCAATTAGTAGAAGAAATCATTCTTAGATTCAGCAAAATCTGAATAAATTACTAAATGAGCCTATAAAAATTTAACCTATTATTTAAATATTACTCCCATAGGAAACCATGACTCTACATATCTAAACATATAAAACTAAACATAAGTCTTTCTGATCAATAATAATGCCCAATGAAGAGAAAACAGAATTGGAAGCTCTAAACCAAATATAGAACTAGAGGGCATGGTGGTGCATACCTGAAGTCCCTGCTACTCAGGAGGCTGAGGCAGGAGGATTACTTAACTCCAGGAATTTAAGGCCAGCCTGGACAACATAGGACAACCCCATCTCTTAAGAAAATCAAAAATAAAAGGGGTAGGGTCTAGAGCATTCAGAAGGCCTTGGTTTCAATCCCCAATACTAGAAAATACACACCCACATACATACAGAAAGGATATTAAAAGTAAATATTTTAGCTAGGCATGGTGGCAAATGCCTACAATCCTAGCAACTTGGAAGGCTGAGGAAGAAGGATGGCAAGTTCAAGGCCAGCCTCAGCAACTTAGCGAGACCCAAAGCAACCTAGTAAGACCCTGTCTCAAAATAAAAAATAAAAAGGGCTGGGGATGTGGTTCAGAGGTTAAGCACCCTTTAGTTCAACCCCCAGTAAGTAACTAACTAACCAAATAAATTTAAATATCTTATATATTTCCATAATATATTAGTAATGGAATTGATTCTCAGAACTTACTTAATTCTCCTAATAATAACTTGTGTCATAGAAAGAAGACAAATTATTAAGACTAAAATATAGAATGGTAATAAAGAAGATTGTGTCAATCGCAAAAAAAAATCTTGAGATGGTGCCTGGAGGGACTCTTGACAGAGGAGCCAATTCATTGTAAAATTCCTATAGAAGACAAAAAGCATGATATTAAAACCTCAATTGTTTAAGGTACCAGATATAAAAGTAATTTTAAAAATCTCAGTAAAAACTAAGACAAAACATATTTATTAAGTTGATTTACTTACAATAGCAAGGTTCCATTTTTTATAAATAAAGATAACATTCATAACCCTCCTGTAGAAAGCACGTACTTTCATCACAACGGCTCCAATAAATGTAAAACTGTTCTTTTTATTACCAAGTAATATAACCATCTCTGAAGCCCAATAAATTCTGGGGGAATTTATGATTTCTATTTTTATCCAGAAGACAACAAAAAATTCAGCTATTAGGTGTCCCCCAAAAGTTCATGTGTGAGACAATGCAAGAAGATTTACAGGTGAAATGATTGGGTTATGAGAACCTTAACCCAGTCAGTGAATTAATTCCTTGATAGGGATTAACTGGTAACTGAAAGCAAGTAGAGTGTTGCTGGAGGAGGTAGGTCACTGGGGGCATGCCTTTGGGGTTTATATTTTGTTGTGGTCAAGAGAGCTCTTTCTCTTTGCTTCCTCGTGTGATGTCCTCAGCTGTGTTCCTCTGTCATGACCTTCTGCCATGATGTTCTGCCTTACCTCAAGCCCAGTCAATCGTTTATGAATTGAGACCTCTGACATTGTGAGCCCCAAATAAACTTCTCCTCCTCAAATTGTTCTGTCAGGTCTTTTGGTCACAGCAGTGAAGAAGTTGACTAAAACACAGACCTCTACATCTACATTGATCAATGTGACAGCTACTAGCCACAGGAGGCTATGGAACACTTGAGATGTGGCTAATTTAAATTGATACTTTAAATACAAAAATACTCTGAGGATTTCCAAGAAAAAAAAATGCAAAAAAGAACAAAATAACTCACCAACAATTCCTATAGATTATACATTAATATGATATTTTCTATTACAACTAATCACTTGTTTCTTTTACTTTTTTACTATGACTATTAGAAAATTACAATTATATACATGGTTCATACTGATAAATGTAACTCAACAAGCACCCATTTTAAACAGTGATATCTATTTAATAAGACAAAAATTATAAAATTTGAATTATACTCTTTAGAGCTATAAGAATTAAGATAAACTTTTTGACCCTAAGGCTAAGTATGATCAACAACACTCCTAGTTACATGTATTTTTATATGTATCCTTACTTCTAATTCATCTCCAACCTCCAATCCTGAATTCCTAAATGAAGTGATGTTTACGAGTCTCCATAGACTGAAAATGCCTACACTTCAAAATCACTGAATTTAGGATAGAAGTTTAAAGTTTAACAATGTATCAGATACAGCTTTTTTTTTTTTTTTTTTTTTTTTTTTGGTGTCAGGGATTAAACCCAGGGGCATTTAGCCACTGAAACACATTCCCAGCCCTCCCTCCCCCAGCTTTTTTTGCCTTTATTTTTATTTATTTATTTTTATGTGGTGCTAAGATTCGAACTCAGGGCCTCGCACACACCAGGCAAGCGCTCTCCTGCTCAGCCACAACCCTAGTCCTCCTTTTTGTTTGTTATTTTGAAATAGGGTCTTGGTAAGTTGCTGAGGGTCTTACTAAATTGCTGAGGCTGGCCTCAAACTTGCAATCCTCTTGCCTTGGCCTCCCTAGCTGCTGAGATTACAGGCATGCACCACCGTGCCTAGTTTAGACACAGCAGTCTTAAAGGGGTTACCATCAAAATATCTTGCAGCACCAGGCATTATGGCACAGGTTTGTAATCCCAGAGACCTGGAAGGCTGAGGCAAGAGGACTGAAAGTTCAAAACCAGTCTTAGCAATTTAGCAACGCCCATTTTTTTCCTATATATTCTAATATCCCAAATTACTCATTTTCTAAGCAATATATAATTAGGTATATTGTCCTTCTATGAGTATTTTGTTCCTTATTTTCTAAGTAAACTTATATAATCTAAAATCTAAACTTAGGTAAAATTACATAATCTAAAACTTACTTAGTCATATTTAGTCCAAATTTTACTTCAAGGAATTTCAGCATGTGTCCATTTTCTTTGTGTGGTACAAACATCTAAAAGAGAAAAACAAAGAAAATACTAGCTATAGTTATAGCAATATACATTTTCCCTAATTATCAGAGACAGAAAATACAGCAGGACTACAAAAATATAAATTAAAATAATACATGGCAAAAATATGAAGCAAGATTACTGTAATAGATTAGATTGCTAAAAAAAGCAATCATATTACCTTATTATGCTTAAGCATAAAAACTATAATGGATAGTAAGAATATTTTGACCTTATTCCACCTGACTCAAGTAACTAATCAACTTTTCTGAATATTTTTTATTTGTCTTAAATTACTTACTACTAATTGGGTAATACTGATATTTTATTTCTTTTCTTTTTAATTTTTTTTAGTTGTTGATAGACCTTTATTTATTTATATACAGTGCTGAGAATCAAACCCAGTGCCTCACACATGTCAAGCAAGTGCGCTACTGCTGAGCCCCAGCCCCAGCCTAATAATGACCATTTTAAATTAAACTGAAAACAAAGTATATTTCCTTCCTTCCTTCCACCCTCCCTTCCTTCCACCCTCCCTTCCTTCCTCCCTCCCTTCCTCCCTCCCTCCCTTCCTTCCTTCCTTTTTTTAAAGTATATGGGGAAAAGAAAAGAATCCTATTTTCTCACCCAATGTGCTAGTGATAATCATTGTTCGACTCAAAATTATGCTGATAACTAGGTGTGATGGTGCACACCTGTAATCCTAGCTACTTGGGAGGCAAGATGGAAAGATTACTTGAGCATAGGAATTTGAATTCAGCAAGGGCAACATGGCAAGACTCCATATCAAATAAATAAATGAAAATTATACTATATAAACTCTATTACTTTGCTATCTTATTATTTTCATTAAAATTTATTAATATATTTCATTTTTCAACTCTACTATTTTCTCTACATGAAAATAAGACAGAGTTACTTACCTTCATTATAATATTCAATGTCACTGTCAGAGTGCACACCAAGTAAAAATTAATCACTTTCATTATTTTAGCTATAAAAGTTCCTTTCTTCACATTCAGCTATGGGGGAAAAATATGAAAAACGACTTAGTAATTTAGAAACCGCCAGGTGTGGTGGCACATGCCTGTTAATTCCAGTCACTGGGGAGGCTGAGGCAGGAGGATCACAAGTTTGAGACTAGCCTCAGAATCTCAGAAATACCCACCTCAAAATAATAAATAAATGGCACATGCCTATAAACCCAATGGCTCAGGAGGCTGAGGCAGGAGTATCCAAGTTCAAAGCCAGCCTCAGCAACTTAGAAAGTTTCAGAACAACTGAGCAAGACCCTGTCTCAAATGAAAAATAAAAAGAGCTAGGGATGTATTTAAGTGCCTATGGGTTTAATGCTCAGTACCAAAAAAATAAAAATAAAAAAGGGCTGGGGATGTAGCTCAATGGTAAAGAACCCTTGGAGTCAATCCCTAGTACCACTGAAAAAAATTTTAATAAGAATGATAGAAAGGCAATGTTAATTACCTGAAGGCACTTAGTAAGCATTAAGGCTGCTACTAAACTTAATAAAGGAGATACCAATAAAGCTGGATTCTCAAACTGCAGTAAATATCCCAGAAAGAGAGAAAATATATATATTTTATACACTTCATGAACCTGTTGGAACAAAAATAAAATGAGAATTAAGTAAATTTTATTGTATTTCTTTTTATTAGTTTTGTTTAGGATAGATCTGACTGCATTTGTACCATAAATTCTATACTACAACTTAAGAGTGTTATGAAATGTTTAATTTGTATTTTTAATGTTTTGGTTTATAATACCCTTGTCACTTTCTTCTTAGAACTCTCCAGAAACAAGGTAAGAAACTTTAAAATCCTAAATATTGAAATCAGACTAGAAGAACCTTCTTTAAGGTCCTTCATTTTGTTTACCCTAACCAAGTGTGTGAAAATATAGGGCCATGGAATATGCCACTGCAGAAAACTATTTTTCTCTACATTTATGCTACATCTACATTTCTTCTTTTCCAGTTGGTTCCCCTTCATCAATTGAAAATGCTACAAGCAATGTGCAAGGCTGGACAAGGAAAGAGGAGCCTGCTCTTCCCTCTTGCTTCCTATTGTCTTGGGATTCCCCTGAGCCACATTTATGTAATACTTCTTTATCCCAACAGCAGTTCCTTCCTATTGAAGCTCTGAATGCAGCTGAAGTTGTTCCAACACTTGAAAAACCAACTTCATCACATCCTCCAGCTCTAGAGACCCAGGACCTGCTGACCAAACCTCTATCCTCAGCAACAACCTAAACTCCAGCAACAAAGGCTCTTTATTTGAGCCCAGAGATACCACCAAAGCTGAGCAGTAGTCCTCAGAATCCTGAGTTTCAGTTCCTTGGAGTCCCTCCTTTAATTTTCTGCACTTTAATAACTCCATATTCTTCACTTCAGTCCTTTAGCACTAATGGTGGTAGCTACTTCCTGTAGTGACCTCCATTATGATACTTATTACCTCTTATTACCATTTCAATCAATCAATTAATAAATTAATGACTTAAACTTGTTTAATAACTGTTTTGGGGTTTTTTTTTGGGGGGGGGGGTGTATGGGTTTTTTTTCTGGAGCTGAGTAGTGAACCAAGGGCCTTGCCTGGCACACCCTCTGCCACTGAATGTTATCTCAAATAACATGAATTTAACAAATTATGTTAAATTCACTCTGTTTAAATAACTTAAATCTTGGTACTCATCAGGATTCTGAACCAGCTGAGTGTATGGGATGAATAAACAAAAGAAAGGTGTTAAGACACAACACTGTAAAAAAATGTATTCTCTGGGTTTAAATTCATCATTTCAAAATGTCATCATACCTTGTCACTTTGCTCCACTGAAAAGATATCTAGCAGGAACAGAGATATTGCTTGAAGAAACAAGAGATAATGGCTATACTCCCACATCATCATAAAGGTGTAAGTTGAAGCACTCATCAACAAGTAACAAAACCTCTAGGAAAAACAAAAGAAAGAAACTATGTATCAGTAGCTTTATTACCATAAAACCCCATGAGTTTGTTACCTCAAAATTACACTTCTGTTACTGGGTCAACTTTAAGCCATATGAATTCTTCAAACTATTTTTAAATCACATAATTCTCACTAAATCCTTACAACAATAATAAGACACTCTCTAGAGAAATCAACCACTTGTCCTTCAACATCTCATTGATTATTTTTGGTATTAGGGATTGAACTTATGGTCACTCCAACTGAGCCATATCCCCAGCCCTATTTTGTATTTTATTTAGAGACAGGGTCTCACTGAGTTGCTTAGTGCCTTGCTGTTGCTGAGGCTGGCTTTGAACTCATGTCTCAGCCTCCAGCCGCTGGGATTACAGGCATGTGCCACCATGCCTGGCAACATCACATGGATAAAATCTCAGTATGACAAAGAGAAAAAAATAAAAGAAGAAAAATCAGTACAAATATCCTTTATCCTCAAAGAGGTAAAGCAATAAATATAAGAAAATGGTGGCTTTTATTAAGACTTGAATGATGAGCTTTTGGTTAAATGTGGAAGTAACTCTTTTCGCTCTGAAAATAATATTTTTATTTCCTTGGAGATTCATATTTTCTTAAAAACTATCATTTAAATAATCTATGTCTCAGCCTAAACTAAGCCCTGATTTTTACTCTTTTAATTTCCTTTTAACAAAAGTATGGTCTTATCTTTTCCAATGCTTGGACTATAAAACATATAAACTCAGCTGTTTTCTTCTACCAAATAAAAAATACTAAACAGGAATTTCATTTCCCTTGCTTGAAATATTCCTGGATAAGAGAGAAGGGAAATTGCATGGAAATGGAAGGAGACCCTCAGGGTTATACAAAATTACATACAAGAGGAAGTGAGGGGAAAAGGAAAGATAATACTAGGGGGAGAAATGAATTACAGTAGAGGGGGTAGAGAGAGAAGAGGGGAGGGGAGGAGGGGAGGGGGGTTAGTAGAGGATAGGAAAGGCAGCAGAATACAACAGACATGAGTATGGCAATATGTAAATCAATGGAAGTGTAACTGATGTGATTCTGCAATCTGTATATGGGGTAAAAATGGGAGTTCATAACCCACTTGAATCAAAGTGTGAAATATGATATATCAAGAACTATGTAATGTTTTGAACAACCAACAATAAAAATATATATATAAAATCAATTGTATCCTTCCAATGCCATCTCCCAAATGATCCCTTAGTGAGTAACCAAGTCTTTGACAAATCCATTGTCATGTAGCATATTTCAAACAACAGTCTTTCCTTCCTCTATGGATCTGCTCTGAACCCCCTCAATTTCTCCACTGGCTGGAGTGTCAAATGATCTTATTCTGATAAGAACATCAAAGGAGCAGGACAATAAAGTCAAGTAAAGAAGGCTAAGAACTGTGTTCATTAAAACTAAATTTTTCATACTCAGCTGACTATATCCAAAGACAAATTTTGGAGTAAGAAATACCCCAGTCATCAGCAGATAAAACAAACTTCCAGGGCTAGGGATGTGGTTCAAGCGGTAGCGCGCTTGCCTGGCATGCGTGCAGCCCAGGTTCGATCCTCAGCACCACATACAGACAAAGATGTTGTGTCCGCCAAATACTAAAAAATAAATATTAAAAAAAAATCCTCTCTCTCTCTCTCACTCTCTCTTTAAAAAACAACAACAACAACAAAAAAAAAACTTCCAGTATCCTGAATAAAATTAAGACCAGAGAGGACTGGGGATGTAGCTTAGTGGTAGAATGCTTTACCTAGCATTCAAAAGGCCCTGGGTTCAGTCCCCAGTACCAGGGGGAGAGGGTGAATTAAGACCAGAGATCAAAATGTAAGTGATGGCAAAATTCCATCTGCTGATCAAATAATTTCAACTACAAAGTTCAGAAAGGCTCCACATTGATAAAACATAAGCTTCTGTTCTTCCTATCACCACAGCTATCTATAGGAAAAGTATCCTGGAAAACTTTGTTTTATTATTTTTAGTTATACATGACAGTAGAATCTATTTTGATATATTTATACAAGTATAGAATATATCTTACTCTAATTAGGATCCTAGACATGTCATGTACACAAGGCTGAGAGTTACCATGGTGTATTCATACATATACATAGGAAAGTTATACCACTGTCTTTTGGAAAGTTTTTAATGTGGAATCACCAGGACTATAATAACCAGGCCTTGAAACCATCAACCCCAGAGAAACCAGTTTCAGAAATCAATAAAGGATAAAATCTTGATCCAGCCCAATTAACATACTGGCCATATGGAAATTACTTTGGGGATTCTGGGGAAAAGCTACAACACAATAAACAAAAATATTGATGCTAAGAATCTATTCTCAAATAATTTGCAGCAAAAATAACCCATGCACATAGAAATATTGTCAAACACATTTGGACACTTAGCTAAGTTTTTCCTTTCCCTGAATAGTTTCAAAGTTCTCTGCACAGTCTTGTTCACCCCTTATCTTGCTCAATTTCTTAAAAGTATTCCTTACTGTGCCTAGAGTGTGAAAACACACACACACACACACATATATGTGTATGTATACATGCACACATATATAAGTGTACATATATGTATGTGTGTGTGTATACATACATACACACACACACACACACACACACACACACACACACACATATATGTGATATAAGTGACACATGAAATAGATTTCAGTAATCAACCAGATAACTGCACTAGAGATCTAAGCTTGTAAAATCTCATGCAACAACTGGGATTACAGGATCTAGCCTCAAGAATGGGAGGAAAAGTACAAGATATTTGATTTTAAAAGTTCAAGTGATTGGAATGCTACTGAGCAATGACAATAATAAGTACTGACACATGTAACTCAGATGGAGCAAAGCATAATGAAAAACAATCCAATCTCAAAGGGTTACATACTTCTTGATTCCATTTTTCTAAACTTTCAAAGTGACAAAATTATACTGATAGCAGATCAGTGATTGACAATATTAGAGTGAGCACATGTGACTATAAAGAAGTAATATGAAGGAGTCTCTTGAGGATAATGGAAAAACTCTGTACCTTGATTTTTTTTTTTTAAAGAGAGAGTGAGAGAGGAGAGAGAGAGAGTGAGAGAGAGAATTTTTAATATTTATTTTTCAGTTCTCGGCAGACACAACATCTTTGTTGGTATGTGGTGCTGAGAATCCAACCCGGGTCGCACGCATACCAGGCGAGCGAGCTACCGCTTGAGCCACATCCCCAGCCCCTGTACTTTGATTTTTAATGATGGTTTCTCAAATCTACAAATGTGATAAAAATTCATACAACTATGCACCCTTCACCCGAAAGGGAGCACATGCAAAACCTGTTGAAATCCAAAGGTCTGTACTTGAATTAATAGTACTGTATCACTGTCAAATCCTGGTTTTGAGAATGTATTGTGTTATTATTATTGAGGGAAGATGAGTGAGGAGTACATGAAAATTCTCCATACTATTTTTGTAATTTCTTATGAATCTTAAGCTTATTTAAGCTAAAAATACAGAGAGGGGAGGGATGTAGAATGAACATAATTGAAATATTAGGCAGTTTTGTTTCTTGAAAAACCGGGTTGTTAAACTGAAAGAGTTAAGAATATACCTTAGTTAAGCACCACCCCCACTGTATTTTTTATAGATGCCTTGATATTCTTACTCTTCTGTTCCTTTTTTTTTTTTTTTTTGCAGTGCTGTAGATTAAGCCCAGGGTCTCTTGCGTGCTAGGCACATATTCTACCACTGAGCTATATTACTTTCAAAGTGTGAAAATGAATTGTGGTTAAATTAAAAAAGAAAAACAAAAAATAAAACTATAAACTGATCCTGGATTCTTTTAAACACAGAAGGTCATTTTCCAGGTGGATTTAGAAGCCACATGTGAGGGAAGATTATGTGCTAGAAGATGGAAGAAACTGGCAGGAGAGAGTAGAGATCTTCCTACCTCTATCTGAAAACTCTCAATTTGTACTTTGTGTTAATAAAATAGAACAAATGGTCAGATACAGTGGCACATGCCTGTAATTCTAGCAGCTTCTCTGAGGCAGGAGGACTGCAAACTCAAGACCAGTCTCAGCAACTCAGGAAGGCCCTAAGCAACTTGATGAGATCTTGCCTCAAATGTAAATAAATAAACTAAGGGCTGGGGATGTAGCTCAGTGGTTTAGCATCCTTGAGTTTAATCCACAGTGCCCCTCACTCCTCAAAAAGGAAACAAATTAGAACAAATGCATAGCACAATAATATGGCAATGAAAAAGGATACTCTGAAAAATAATATAGTTTAGAAAAACTCCTTTTAAAATAATTAAACCTTTTTTAGGCAACAGAAGTTACCTAAAAAGGTAGTAAAAGAAGCATAGGCATTCTGCTGTGCTAAACTGTCTTATTCAAAAACTGAAGAACTATTCTTCCTTAGGAGATAGCTCATAATCTAACAGAAAAATACTCAATCATAGATTCTGTAACTTCTATACAAAATATTCTTGTTCAAAGACTCCTTATTAAAAAAAAAGGAAATTTACAAATCTGCAATATGCTCATGTTACTTTACATACAAAGAAAACTAGTTATAGAAATTAAATAATAAAATTTGCTAAGCTCAGGACACTTGTCACCACTGAAAGGAAAGAACAGTATTTGTTCAGAGATTTCAAAAAGGAACTAGTAGTGCATCCCATGTCTGAGACAAAGGCCTCTTAATAGAGACCTTTTCTTAGTCCCTCTAGTCTCTCTTCATAGCCAGGAATTCTTAACTCAAGATCAACAGAATAAAGGATCCCTACATTTTAGTCAGTCTCTACTAGTTGCCTTTGTAATCACATTCATTTTATTTTATGCACTTAAAATCTTTTTTTCTGAGACAAGGTCTGTAAGTTTCATTCAACTGCCAAAAGGTTTGTGGCAACAACCAAGTAAGAATCTAAACTGTCTGGGACAATTGCCTGAAACTTTCTTTTCTTTCTTTTTTTTAGTTATAGTTGGACACAATACCTTTATTTTATTTATTTACTTTTATGTGGTGCTGAGGATTGAACCCAAAGACTCGCACGTGCTAGGCGAGTTCTCTGCCTCTGAGCCACAACCCCAGCTCGCCTGAAACCTTTCACTACTCTACCTACATCTCAGTCACAGAAAACGTGCGTAAACAGAATATGCGGTGTTATCATCAAAGTTTACACAGCTGTAATCTGTGGTCACTCTTCATATCTTCATTAATATTTCTTTAAATATTAATAATATTTAATTAAATTATATATCTATAAAGTTCCAAGTAAGAGAAGTAGTAAAATACCAGTGAGATGGGCTGATTTTCAAAAAAGATATTCCTCATGTATTTGTCTAATAACTACATTAAAAAATATAACATCTTTGTTTTCCTAAAAATTATTTGTTGTCAATCAATTACAGAACAACATTATACAAAAACTACCTAATTATATCCTTTATTATGTAGTATCTGGGCCTAACTGAATATAACTTAATTATGACTAATTTAAAAATTATGTACCACATTTGTAATACATCAGAATTAACTATGATGGATCAGATTTGTATCTTACCTCTGCATAAGTATTTAAGTTGCTTTTTAAATAGCCTGTAAGTGCAGCAACTTGACAGGCGAAATATGGTAATGCCCAGTTTTCTCGTAAAGGAATGGAGTATTCAATTCTTGTTGTATCTACCCTAAAATAAACCACAAATAAACAGCAAAAGTAAGACATTGTATATGTGTAAGACCATACTTTTCAAAGCACTTTCATACATCTCATTGCTCTCAATAACAATTCTGTGAGGTTACCTATGTTGCATTTTGGGCAAATTAAGGATTTCCCCACCCCCACTCCCCAATCAAGAGGAAGAATGCTTCTGTACTCTACTTGGTGAACCCAAGGGCCTTGGTGAGAATGTGCAAACGGCATACCTTTTCTGGGTGGATATTACTCCAAACTAAAGCACACTGCTCTGCCCCTCCCTTCCCTTCTATTAACCAGATGGCTGTCCTTCTCTAGAGCACAATCTGCATTACATAATTGGTGGTCTGACAGATCCAAAGTTCTTACTTGCCTTTACAAAGGAATATGAAGCTCAGAGATATGATGTGACTTAATCGTATGCTAGTAGGTGGCATAAATGGGATTATAATGCGTATCATTTGATACCTAGTTCAATAATGTTTTCCATTAACAGGCTACCTGAAATTAACTTTATAGTAGTTTTATATATATATATGTATGTGTGTGTGTGTATGTGTGTATGTATTTATGTATGTATATATATGCCGGAGTCCAGCTGGGCAAAATAAGCAGGGGGTGACAAGCAACTTGTGAAGGTTGATACAGCAGGAGCCGCTTTATTTAGAGGTATCAGAGGTATTTATACCTAACTGAATACACAGCTTGTTTCAATTTAGCATCATCCAGTTACAGCAATCATTAAGGAATCCTCATCATCTTAATAATTATACACAGCTTAACTTAATTAACATCATTAGATACAGCAGTCAGTCATTAAGGAATCTCCATCATCTTAATGGCTCCCTGGCGTTACTTCTCAAACCACTCCTTCTGGCAAAGTGCCAGGCGCTATCTTGACTTGTCTGTGGTTCTCAACATCTAAAGACTTTTTAAAATTTCCAGATACGTGGGGTGCGATGGCACACACCTGTAATTCCAGCAGCTCTGAGCCAAAGTGAAAAATTGTGTTCTATAAAGGCTGAGGCGGGAGGATCGCAAGTTCAAAGTCATCCTCAGCAAAAACAAGGCATTAAGTAACTCAGTGAGACCTTGTCTCTAAATAAAACACAAAATACGCTGGGGATGTGGCTTAGCTGTTGAGCACCCCTGAGTTCAATCCCTAATACCAAAAAAAAAAAAAAAAAAAAATTCCAGAATCAAAGATATAGAAATGTCTTTGTAAATTCCTCCTAAGTTCGTCCTGTCAATTTTTACTAAGAGCTTTTTGTATCCTTCGTGTATCATCACACCACAATGGGACTTCCTTTCCAAAAATCACCAAATTTGGCTCTCTTACAACTCAATGGCTATTTATCACACAAAAACAAAGGTTTTTTTGTTTGGTTTTTCGTTAATTTATGAGAATTGGTGCATTACTAAGTAAAAGAGGTGGCAAATTTTTACCCCTTGCACATCAGATACACTAATATATATTATATACACCATAGGGTATATAAAGAACTCAAAAAGCTAAACACCAAAAAAAATAAAATAACCCAATCAATAAATGGGCCAAGAGATATACAATCAATCAACAAATATATGAAAAAAATGTTCATCATATCTAGCAATTAGAGAAATGAAAATTAAAACTACTCTTAAAAGATTTCACACACACACACACACACACACAAAGATTTTCACCTCACTCCAGTCAGAATGGCAACTATTAAAAATACAAACAACAATAAGTGTTGGTGAGGATGTGGGAAAAAAGGCACACTCATACACTGCTGGTGGGACTGCAAATTGGTGTGGCCGATATGTAAAGCAGTATGAAGATTCCTTGGAAAACTGAGAATGGAACCACCATTTGACCCGGCTATCCCACTCCTCAGTCTATACCCAAAGGTCTTAAAAATTCAGCATACTACAGGGACATAGCCACAACAATGTTTCTAGCAGTACAAGTCACAATAGCTAAACTGTGGAACCAATGTAGATGCTTTTCAGTAGATGAATGGATAAAGAAAATGTGGTATATATCCACAATGGAATATTACTCAGCAATAAAAGAGAATAAAATCATGGCATTTACGGGTAAATGGATGAAGTTGGATTATATAATGCCAAGTAAAGTTAGCCAATCCCCAAAAAACAGGTGCCAAATGTTTTCTCTGATACAAGAGGCTAATTCATAGTGGGGATGGGAGCAGGAGCATGGAAGGATTAGACAAACTCTAATTAAAACAAAGGGGTAGGACGGAAAGGGAAGGGACATGGGGATAAAAAAGATGGTGGAATGAGATGGACATCATTATCCTAAGTACATGTATGAAGACACAAATGGTTTGAATATACTTTGTATACAACTAGAGACATGAAAAATTGTGCTCTATATGTGTAATATGAATTGTAATGAATTCTGCTGTCATATATAACAAATTAGAATAAAAAATAAATAAATAAAAATAAAATAATTCTCTATTTTATTTTTATGTGGTGCTGAGGATCGATCAAGTACTACTGCTTGAGCTACATCCGCAGCCCCTTTCCCACGTTTTTGATTGGTGCATTATAGTCGTACTTAATGATGGTATTTGTTGTTATATATTTACACATGCACACACTATGAGAATATAATTTGGCCAATATCAGTCCCCAGTACTTCTCCAGTCCCTCCCCTTGGTTCCTTTCCTCTACTGATCTCCCTTTGTTTTCCATGAGATCCACCCTCACCTTTTTCCTTTTTCTTCTCTAGCTTCTGCATATGAAAGAAAATACAAGCCGGCATGGTGGCCCATGCCTGTAATCCCAGCAGCTGGAGAGGCTGAGACAGGAGGATCACCAGTTCAAAGCCAACCTCAGCAAAATCGAGGCACTAAGCAACTCAGTGAGAACCTGTCTCTAAATAAAATACAAAATAGGGCTGGGGATATGGCTCAGTGGTTGGGTGCTTATGAGTTCAACCCTAGGTACTGCCCCCCCCAGCCCAAAAAAAGGAAAGAAAATACAGTCAGTCCCTTGGCCTTCTGAGATTGACTTATTTTGCTTAACATAATGCTCTCTAGTTCTATCCATTTCCCTGCAAATGACATATTTCATTTTTTTATGGCTGAATAAAACTCCATTGTGTATATATACCATATTTTCTTTAACTATTCATCCCTAAAGCTCAGGAAATAATGCTAAGAGTTAATAAATGGGATGGCATCCAATTAAAAAGCTTCTGCACAGCAAAGGAAAACAATTAGAAATATGAAAAGAGAATCTATGGAAATGTTTGTTAGCTACTCTTCTGACAGATGATTAATATCTAGAATATATAAAGAACTCAAAAAGGGGCTGGGGATGTGGCTCAAGCAGTAGCGCGCTCGCCTGGCATGCGTGCGGCCCAGGTTCGATCCTCAGCACCACATACCAACAAAGATGTTGTGTCTGCCGAGAACTAAAAAATAAATATTAAAAATTCTCTCTCTCTCTCCTTTCTCACTCTCTCTTTTAAAAAAAAAAAAAAGAACTCAAAAAGCTTTACACCAAAAATCAACTAGCACAAATAATAAATGGGCAAATGAATTAAACAGACATTTCTCAAATGAATCAATAATTATTCATGTTAAAAGTAACCAATGAGTTCTGCTTATGAAGAAAAATTATACTTTTGAAGAGTGAATAATGTAGCCAAAAAACAGAAAAATGTAATTTTATAAACCCTAATAAAATTACTACATTAGGCAAAGATTATCAACTCATTTCACAACCCTTAGGTAGCTAAAAGAACATTCCATTTATTGTCATAAATACCACAGTTCATTTTCTAGTCATAAGAGAAAAACAGCTATTTAGTGGAGAGACCAGACCGTCATCCTCAAAATCAATAGTTTAACCTCATATTCAAGAGGGATGAACTATATATCATATAACTTTTAATGTTAACATGAAAAATAAATAATCTACAATATAATATATTCTAACCTGAACTGTTTATTCCTCCCACCTTTTTTTATTTGCTAGGTACTGGGGATTGAACCCAGGGGCACTTTACCACTGAGCCACATCCTCAGACCTTTTTATTTTATTGTGAGACAGGGTCTCACTAAGTTGCTAAGGAAGGCCTTAAACTTGTGATCCTTCTACCTTGGCTTCCTGATTCACTGGTATTACAGGCCTGTGCCACCTTGTCTGCCTCAACTACTTTGAACTCATCAAAGCCACTAAAATTTTCAGAGTATGCCTGTAATCCCAGTGAGTTGGGAGGCTGAAGCAGGAGGATCAAGAGTTCAAAGCCAGCCTCAGCAAAAGCAAGGTGCTAATAAGTAACTCAGTGAGAACCTGTCTCTAAATAAAATACATAATAGGGCTCGGGATGTGGCTCAGTGGTTGGGTGCTAAATGACATCTAAATGACACTAAATGATCCAACAAGAGAAATTCAGAAAGTAGGACATTCTACAGAATAGTTGACTTGATCTCTTACCCATTTAAAAAAAAAAAACAAAAAAACTAAAGTAGATAAAAGAGAATTAAGGGATATATCAATGATGTAATATGTAGTCCTGGATCAATTACTGGTTTAGATGAATATATTATACAGGACATTTTGAAGTCAAACAGGTAAACTATAATAAGGACTAAGTATTAGATAAGATAAAAAGTGAGCTGGAGGTATAGCTCAGTGATAGAGCATTTGCCTAGCATATATGAGGTCTTGGGTTCAATCCTTAGCACCATTATAAATAAATAAATAAATAGATAAATAAATAAAAGTACAAGTAAAAAAGGTAAATACTTGAATAAAATTAGCACATGAAACAGTATGTGTAACATATCACATTTTTTTTAGTTGTAGATGGACACAATCTCTTTATTTATTTTTATCTGGTGCTGAGTAACGAACCCAGTGCCTCACATGTGTGAGGTGGGCGCTCTACCACTGAGCTACAGCCCCAGCCCTATATCACATTTTGATTAAAAAATCCAAAAGAATATAAAAGAATACACCTCAATTATAAACAATGATAAGTGATCTCTAGGCAGTAGAAATGTGAAATTATTGTTTTATATTTTCTGGTCTCCCTTTTCCACATCATACATAGATCTCCTTTAAATAATAAAGTATAGTGTATCTCTGTGCTTTTAAAAAGAAACATACTTTACCCACAAAGCTGGATAGCTATACTTGAAAACTTCTAAGGAAGATCTAAAAAATCCTTTATATTACATTATTGTCAGCCTATGATGCTAAATATAAACAAAGTCCAGTAAGAAATACAGTTCTTAGTGCTGAATTTCAATAACTTAAAAGCATCAATTTTATCATCTGACAACTGCCTAAATAAAAGAAAATGTATAACTGAAGAAACATCTCATTTCTAAAAATGTAATCATATTAAGTACTATGGGTGGAGGTAGAAGTGCTATGGGTGGAGAAAAAGCATGCCTATCCTACAATAAATTATTATATGATATGACCAATACTAGGAAAATTTTATTAAAATATTACAAATGAGCCTTCCTTCTCACTGAAATCCCCTCCCCAACTAAAGAGCTGAGGCTCCTTGGATAAGAAAGGGGATGGTTCTATTAATTAGAAGTGTACTTCTAATTAAAAGTGTACTTTAATTATCAAAACTTTATCAATTTGTATAGAGTCCTTATCTATGGTAATTAACTTAATAAGCAATGTATTTGATGTCCCTTCCTCCTTTCTAAGAAGCTGTACCATTAATTTTAAATGAAAGAGAAGAGACATATCTATATATGCCAATGTTTCTATTTCTATAAAAGGAGAGACACAAAACTGGTGAATTACTTTTCAACTGTTACGTAACGAATGAACACAAATGTAGTAACTTAAAAAAACACAAATTTATTATGTCACAAAGGCCAACAGAGTATAGTTGGATTCTCAGAGTTGCACTAAACTAAAATTCAGGTATCATTCAGAGCTACAGCTCTCATCAGAGAATTATAGTCCTTTTTTCAGGCTGGGTATCAAATCCAGAGCCTCACACATGCTAGGCAAGCACTTGCCATATTCTTAAAAATTCACTGATTGTTTAAAGAATTCATTTTCTCCTTCACGTCAGCAATTGCACAGCATATTTTTCTCATGCTTTGAGTCTCTCTGACTTCCCCTTCTATACCAGATGAAGAAAGATCTCTGCTTTTAAGGTCCATAGGGTAATTTTCCACTTTTAAGGTAAGCTAAGTCATAATACAATCACAAGAATGATACTTCACCATATTCATAGACTTGGGAATTAGGGTGGGGAATCTGGGGGTAGCGAACATTTTCAGAACTCTACTATAGTCACAAAAAATTATAAATATTAATTCAAAATACATTTCTTACCTGTTAATAATAAACCATGCAACAGTAAGCATTCCTGCTAGCCACGTTCCACTCATAAGCCAACTTGTAACAAATAATGCAGTAACATATATTCCTTGCAATCCAAAAACAATGCCAATATAGAAATAAACTGGCTCAATCATCTCCTAAATGGAAACAACAAAGGGAGTGATAACAGTACGACATTAAATAATTTGAAGATTTGTAAATATGTGAGAAAATAGATATTAAGACCAAAACAAAAATACATACATTGCTACCAGTTGCTTGATATAACACGCTGGCAATAAGTTCTGGATATAGAGACATTTGCTGTACTGCATTTATAGTCTTCAGAGATACAGTTTTGTTATTATGTGTCAGTTCGTAAACACCTAAAAACAGTTTTGTTATTGTTTATCTGTTTGTAAAAATCCAAAGATATATTTTTCTCCAGAAAAATTTTTTTTATTTTACAACAGTCAAATAAACATGTCTTTAATTAGTCATCAAATATTTAATGTTATCAAGAAAGATTTGAAAATGTAATGCTCAATGCTTCATTTTTCCAATTTTAAAAAATTAAGTACAATGAGGAGAAATGTCTATATTCTGAGACAAATCCCCATACTCTTAAAATTCCAGTTTTGAAGAACAATGATCTATATTAGAAAAATATTGTTATTACAAATCCATACCTCTTTCAAATGAAGGTGCCTTTAACATATCTTTATAATAGGAGTAATAAATAGCACTGTCACCCTGAAATGTGATTTCCCGTTCAAGCTCCTAAAATAAAATGAAATGAGTATTTAAATAATAGTATCTGAAGTTTAAGCTGTCTTCTTCCCTTCTCACTTTCTAAATGAATATGATATTTGTTTACTCTTTTATTAAAAAACATCTTTGAGGGTGGGGATGTGGCTCAAGCGGTAGCGCGCTCGCCTGGCATGCGTGCGGCCCGGGTTCAATCCCTAGCACCACATACAAACAAAGATGTTGTGTCTGCCGAAAACTAAATAAATAAATATTGAAATTTAAAAAAAAAAACATCTTTGGCCTGTGCAGTAGCACACGCCTATAATCTCAGCATCTTGGGAGGTTGAGGCAGGAGAATTGTGAGTTCAAAGCCAGCCTCAGCAAAAGCAAGGCACTAAGAAACTCAGTAAGACCCTGTCTCTAAATAAAATACAAAATAGGGCTGGGATGTGGCTCAGTGGTCAAGTGGCCCTGAGCTTAATCCCTGATACTCAAAAATAAAAAAATTAAAGTAAAATAATAAAAAACATCTTTGAATTTTTTTAAGCACTAGTGGTCATATTATAAGGAAGTTAAAACTGTTCAATAACTTTGGGTCATTTTAATGAAATACCTAAGGTTTCAAATGGATTACAACTCATAAGTCAATATCTGTTTTATACCTAAGGAAACTTTAGAAGGAAAACCAAAAGAATGCCCTAAAAATAGCAAGAATAGGGCTGGGGATGTGGCTCAAGCTGTAGTGCACTCGCCTGGCATGCGTGTGGCCTGGGTTCGATCCTCAGCACCGCATACAAACAAAGGTGTTATGTCCGCCAAAAACTAAAAAAAATAAATATTAAAAATTTCTCTCTCTCTCTCTCTCTCTCTCTCTCAAAAAAAAAAAATAGCAAGAATAATAAGGCCAGTAAAAACAAATAATAATTGAAGTATCAGAGGTCTATAATAAAAAGATAAATTTAAGAGGCTCAGATTGTAGCTCAGTGGTAGTGTGAGGCACTGGGTTTAATCCTCAGCACCGCATAAAAAAATGAATGAGTATTTTAAAAAAAAAGATAAGTTTAAGAAGAAACTGATATTTTCTCTCCCTCTTTTTGGGGGGGCTTCTGGGTACTCAACCACTGAGCTACATCCCCAGCCCTATTCTGTATTTTATTTAGAGTCAGGGTCTCACTGAGTTGCTTAGCGCCTTGCAGTTGGTGAGGCTGGCTTTTTTTTTTAAAATACATATTTATTTTTTTTAGTTGTAGTTGGATACAATATTTTTAATTAATTTATTTATTTTTATGTGATGCTGAGGATCAAACCAGGGGCCTCACCCATGCTAGGCAAGCGCTCTACTGCTGAGTCCTAACCCTAGCAGGCTGAGGCTGGCTTTGAAGTCAAAATCCTCCTGAGCTGCATGCACCACCACGCCCAGCAAGAAACTAATATTTTTTACTACTATTGATATCCCTACGGATCCAAAACGAAAAGTTCTTAATTAGTACTTTTTAAGAGCAGCAGATATTTAAACAGTTCTTTTCAAATGAATTTTCAAAAATATACGTAAGATTTAAAATTCCCAATATTAAATTTTGGAGAATCAAGAATGTAGTAGTCAAGGGCTGGGGATGTGGCTCAAGCGGTAGTGCGCTCGCCTGGCATGCGTGCGGCCCGGGTTCGATCCTCAGCACCACATACCAACAAAGATGTTGTGTCCGCCGAGAAATATTAAAATTCTCTCTCTCTCTCTCTCTCTCTCTCTCTGTCCCCCTCTCTCTCACTCTCAAAAAAAAAAAAGAGAGAAAAAGAATGTAGTAATCAAAATGTACAATGACTTGCATTTTATATGAAGAATCAAACTACTTTACAATCTTTAAAAATAAAACCTGATTTTCATGCACAATACAGATTAAGCATCTTTATTCCAAAAAATCTGAAATCCTACATTTCAAAATTAGAAACCTTGAGTGCCAACATAATGCCACCAAGTAAAATATTTCATATTTAACCTCATGTGATGAGTTGCAGTCAAAATGAGGCGCACTAAATACTATTTAAAATTTCTCAGGCTATGTGTATAAAATGTATATGAAATATAAATAAATTCTGTTTTCAGACTTGTGTCCTATTCCTAAGTCTATATATAACTCATTATGTATATGTAAAAAAAAAATTTTTTTTTAATCCAACATCTGAAACACTTCTGGTCCTGAGAATTTCAGATAAAGAATACTAAATCTCTATTTATCAATTAATACAATTATTTTAAAAAGTTAGTAAGAGTAGTTTTTCAAAATTCTGAATTTCCTAAGATGTTAATTGGTGCTACTTAAAAAAAAAAAAATCTATAGTTAAGTTTAAATACAGGCTGGATCAAACAAAGTTACATGAGTTTCTTTACTGCAAGACTGTTCAGTTTGGGCATATATCATGCTATGAATCTCCAAGAGGAAGTCTTTCCAAAGTCTATTTAACCATTGAATACTCCCCACCCACACACATTCCCAATTTAGAGCATAACTGTGAGGGCTAGGGGTGTAGCTCAGCAGTAGAGTGCTTGCCTAGCACACACAAGACATTGGGTTTGATCCCCGGTCTCACACAAAAAATAAATAAGTAAAAAACTGCAAGAAAGCATGCTATCATCCAGATATTTGTGTCCCCATACCCCATATTGATATGTTGAAACCTAATCCCCAGTGTAATCTGGAAGTGGACATTTGAGATTAGTGCCTTAATGAAAAAGGCCCAAGAGAGATTCCTCACCTTTTCTCCCTTCTACTACCTAAGGACACACAGCAAAAAGATAGTTGGCTATGAAACAAGAAGCTGGTCTTGGGCTGGGGATGTGGCTCAAGCAGTAGCGCGCTCGCCTGGCATGCGTGCGGTCCAGGTTCGATCCTCAGCACCACATACCAACAAAGATGTTGTGTCCGCCGAGAATTAAAAAATAAATATTAAAAATTCTCTCTCTCTCTCTCCTCTCTCTCT